GGTTCAGAGATGTTTTCATCATTACCCGGGGTAGAGTTTATCAGGTCATTAGTGTCATTGCTGGCACCCTCAAGAGGAACAGGATGTGGGATGGGAGGGGACTGGTTTTGTGAGCTGGGAGGGGACTGGTTTTGTTGGCTGGGAGGGGACTGGTTTTGTAAGCTGGGAGTGACTGGAGCAGGGATCAGGGGGGCAGATTGAGAGTCAGATATTTTACCTTCCTTACCATTAAGATCATTCTCCCTGATTGTATGTGGCTTGGAGGTAGAGGCAACCAGTTCCTTCGGTGGAGTAGGATTCATAGGCCCTTTACCCTTTCGCAGTCTACCTTCATGCTCTTTACCAATTTCCTGAGTAATATTTGTTTCCTTTGCACCTGTAACTTGAAGAAGAGGGTTAGCAGCACCAGGAGGCTTTTTGATTCCTCCCTGGTCTTTAATAGTAATTGGTCCGGAATTGGTTTTCGGCAAAGAGGAGCATTTATCATAGTAATGGCCAAATCGAAAGCAGTTTTTACAGTACAGAGGGAGGAGCTCCTCAGTTTTAACAGGCTGCCAAAAGGGCTCATAGCCTTCATCCTCTAGCCAGATCCTATCAGGGATAGGTTTGAGGAGGTCTATCTCAACCTGAACACGAGCCACAGTGGGTCGTTTTCGGTCAAGTGTAGGCCGGTCACACCTGAGAGGTTGACCGAAGGTGGAGCACAGTTCGAAGAGGAAGGCTTCATTAAACAGATGAAAGGGGAGGTGAGGGAAATCGAACCAGATGGGAACAAAGGATGACTCCTTCTCTGGATGGTAACCAGGGTACCATTTAGAGACGGTCATTTGTTTGCCACCTATCATCCAAGGATTACGGGATCTGCAGCGGATGTATTCATCTTTGCTATTGAAAGAGATGATAATCTCTTTCTCATAAAGTAATCCAACTGAAAAGGAATGAAAGTTAAGAGACTCGAAGAACCTGCGAATAAGGTCCATTGGGGGTCGGCCTTTCAGAAATTTTCCAACCAGTGCATATCGAAGTCCATGCGATAGTAGATCTGAGCGTTTCTTTGGAATCTTGACTGAGATATGTCCACGATGCTTACCAACGATCAAGGAGAGTGACGGGTCTGGAGTAGTCGGTGTAGCGGAGAGAAGTTGGTGATGGTCTCCTGTCACTATCTTTGCCCAGGAGCGGGGGGGTGGAGGTTTTGGATCTCCATCCGAGACAGACGCCATGGAGGCGGGTGGAAACCCTAGGGTTTCCTCCAAAGAAGGACTGGAAAAGTATAGAGAGAAGGCAGAGAATTTAGCGTTTGTAGAACTCATGGCTTAATCCATCATATGATTTCTTAAAAATCATCAACGATAATACTAGTTAAAGAATACTAAATGGCACTACTAGAATTTTACTCATTTGCTGCAAGGCAAAGAATACCTGTACTATATTGGAGAAGACTTTTTCTTCAGTCATTTTACCTTCTCCAAATTTTCCACCGTTGGAGCGAAATATAGGCTCTAAAAATAATCAAATAAGTGTTGGACATGTGAATTCCAGCCAGCTCAACATTGCTTCCAAAAAGGGGGATGATGTTGATTTGTATAAAAAAACTAAGGGAAAAGGTGCAAATAGGCCCATGTACTAACCAAAAAAGGTCAAATAAGCCCTTATTTAGGAAGTTCTGTCTGGCCGTCGTCATTTGAGGTGGTTCCCGGTGGAATTTTTTGATGAAATTTTTTGAGCATCTTATTTATTAAGTCTAGTTTACTCATACCAAATTTCAGCTAAAACTTCAATCGGGAAGGCATTCAAATGAATTCTTGAAGATAACTGCGCTTCTAACTGCCCAGTTATTTTCAAGAATTCATTTGAATGCCTTCCCGATTGAAGTTTTAGCTGAAATTTGGTATGAGTAAACTAGACTTAATAAATAAGATGCTCAAAAAATTTCATCAAAAAATTCCACCGGGAACCACTCCAAATGGTGACGGCCGGACAAAGCCTCCTAAATAAGGGCTTATTTGACCTTTTTTGGTTAGTACATGGGTCTATTTGCACCTTTTTCCAAAAACTAAAGAAGCTTTACTTGTGGGCAGATGAAGGCCTGACCAAAGATGTTATGGCTGGGGTAGATTATGAATTTGATCAGGCTATAATGTTATTGGGAGCAATGGTTTCTCTGGATCAGACACTTGTGTTGCATGAGGATTCCGAATCTGAGAAACCTGAGACTAGCAAAGGGAAACACAAAAGGTGAACATGCCAAATAAGATGTTTCATTTGTAGAGGACATGAATGTGGAAGATTTCAACAACAATATGAATAAGCATCTGAATGCCAGTAGCACAGATTTGGTCAATGCACCAATTGGTGTTTTTAGATTTGTACCAATTGAACCTGAGTTATGGGAAGAAGATGATGTATACTCATTACATAGAAAGGATGCTCTAAAAATGATGAGGTGGTTGTCATCTTTTGTTTTTTGAAAAATATATTTTATTTTGAAATTGGTACCACCTGATTGCATTACTAGCCTTTATAAAGTTATGGTACTTTATTTTTTTCTCCTATCTACACTTCATTGGTTATAAAATGGGCAGAGACTGCTACTATGGATTAGCTTCTACCTGGAATGTAAATACTTTGGGAGGAGATTTATTTTTATTAGCTTCTACCTGGAATGTGAATACTTTGGGAGGACATTTATTTTTATTAGCTTCTTCCTGGAATGTAAATACTTTGGGAGGACATATAATCTACTGTTGGATTATTTTTTATTCTTTAGTTTTTCTATTCAAGGGAGAGAATGTAACAGCTGTAATATTGTCGATAGTATTTGCTCAAAAAACTATGCATCGTGATGATCACTTTAAATTTGTTATTCCCATAATTTCAAATGAAGTGAAAGACTCATATGGGTTGGGAACAGTGATGGTCTGATGGACCCGGTCCAGCCCGACCGGCCTGGCTGGGTGCCCTGTTCTGGTACCGGGCTTTTGCCCTACCCAGCGTCCTAACCGGGAGCGGTTCCGGGACGTCTAAATAGCAAACAGGCCATGCGGCCAAGCTAGGCCCGGTTCGGGCCCAACGGCTAATATTTTTTTAAAAAAAAATTTATAGCTCTTCCTAGCCGTTGGGAAAAGCCCCAAACGGCTATATAGTCGTTTGGTGCAATGGGGGGTCATGGGGGTTTGGGGATCGGGGGTGGGGGTTGGGGTACAAAAAAAATCCATAAATCCTCCTATTTTCTAATATTTTCTTACACCTCTTCTCCATCTTCATTAGGCCTAGACTCGGACTGGGTGGCCCGACCCGGAACCGGCCCGAACCGGCACTGTTCTGGCCCGGCCTGGCCCGATGGCCCAGTCAGTGACCGGTCCGGGTAGGCCCGACCCGCTGGGGGTCCGGTCCGGGCTCGGGCCCCACAAATCATGAACCGGCCCGACCGGTTCGGGCCCGACTCCGGGCCTTTTAAATTTTTCTTTTCAATTTTTTTTTACTTTTCGGGTTGGGTTGGGTATTTTGGGCCATTTGGGGTGGTTTGGGGGTGAGGGGGAGGGTTGGGGGTTAACTAGGAAAAGAAAAAAAATATAACTAAGGCCCGAGGCCCGGCCTGGCCCGATCCGGAACCAGGGATTACCCGGGTCGGTTCTGGGCCCCCATTCCTGAACCGGAGGCCCGACCGGGCCCGAACCGGCTTGAGTCCACCCCTAATCTTCATCTTCTCAAATTCTCTAATTCTCTATACATCTATTTTACTATTTATGCAATTATTATATCTATTTATATATTAATTATCTACCTATAAATACATATATTATGCTACGTATTACCTTTATTTATTATCTACTTAATATATACTTATATATATTATAGTGAGTGCTTTTCTCATCAGGCCGGCCTGACGGGATGCCCCGTCCGGCCGAGCCCGTTTGGGCACCGTCCCGGTGGAATTTTTTGATGAATTTTTTTGAGCATGTCCCGTAGGAGGAAGAGGGTCACTTTCAAGCTGGGGCTAATCCCTTATTGTTTCTGTCTTTCCTTTTTGACAAATGCAGTCCAACCAGAAGTCTCTACCCTCAAAGAGGGCATCCTTTTATGCATCGGGTTTTTTGCACTAGCAGAAGCAGCCATCTTCAGGAGCACAGAGAAGATGTGCAAATCGTTCTTGTATAGCACCCGTGGCCACTTCTGATGCTCCGCCTTTCACCCCCAAAATTTCTTTAATAGACAGCTGCAATAAAATTTTGTAGCCTACATAAGAAACACACACAAAAAGAAAGGAAAAAAACAAAAGGCAATAGTTTATATTAAAATTACGTGAAACTAACTATAAAACAAAAGCATTCTACAGTTCAACATTCTATTGACCTTCAAGTGGTACATACCAGCCATGAAACATTCAAAACCTTAATTACTTTATCTCAATTGAAAGGTATATAGGTTAGCAATTTTTTTCAGAATAACAAAAGAACCAAACTTCCCAGATATGACAATACAATTAATTTTCTAACTGCAAATACATTAAAATCCTAAAAACAGAAAAAGCTCTCGACTTGCATTACCTGCTTAATTACCTTCCTTAAAAATCCGGGGAACAACATGGCGACATGGCGTCAATGAGGCCAGTGAAATTAACAAAAAGTGATTGGGCACCTCAGAAGAAAGCAACAGTGGTTGGAATATGATCATGGCTACACAGGATGAAGATGATGAGCATGTGAAAGATGAAGAACTTGTGCAACCCATAAATGCTAATTCAATTTCTTTCCTGGGTTTGAAATCATTTCCGATGGAACCAACGACTCACTTTTTTGTCCTGGGAACATAGATGGAATAAAGCAAAAAATGGCTCACTAAACTGCATGTCACGCCCCAGACCGCAATCCAAGCGCGTGTACAACCGCCGTATAATCAAGTGACGTCACCCGCGAGTCAACCTCACTTAATTACACAAGGCGTTCGAGAATATAAACCATCCATACTCAGTAGTAAACATACATAACAACATCACATTTAAACCAATGAATAGCGGAAATATTCAACGGTAAGTCATAGGCCACAACCGGCCAACAACATGGGCATGCAAGCCCCAAAAGTAGTTTATAACAAATGAAAATATCCATGAGCAATGTTTAGTAATTTGAAAAGAAATGAGGAAGCACGAACCACGTCTTCCTTGACTTGATGTCACCCGTAGAAAGGTGCAGGTAGCAAGCCCTAGCTTCAACCTGAAAATGGTGGGGCCCCCCGAAGGGGTCAGTACAAGTACCGAGCGAGTAGCAGGCTAAATATAGAATAACTAGCGTTTCAAGTATAAGACCCAAACATAGGGTGATACTTAAATAGATAGTCTTTCCCCCAAGTTATGAAATACTTATTTATATATATATACTTGGAAAATATCCGATCCGTAGATCACCATTTTTATTTGGGAAAAATAGTATTAGTCAATATTCTTGACTAAAAACCCCAACCCACCCATATACCTATGAGTGTATAGGACTCCTCCTTGTCCCTATTTGTATATCATAATTTATGAGTTTTAGGATCAAAATCCTCGGATACTCCACCGGTTTGTGAGTGTTAAGGCCTCATAAGTCCTAGGGTCCTCCACCGAGTTTTGAGTGTTAAGTACTTTAAGTACTAGGGTCCTCCACCAAGTTTGAGTGTTAAGTACTTTTTAGGTACTAGGGTCCTCCACCAAGTTTTGAGTGTTAAGTACTTTTTAAGTACTAGGGTCCTCCACCAAGTTTTGAGTGTTAAGTACTTTTTAAGTACTAGGGTCCTCCACCAAGTTTGAGTGTTAAGTACTTTTTAAGTACTAGGGTCCTCCACCAAGTTTTGAGTGTTAAGTACCTTTTAAGTACTAGGGTCCTCCACCAAGTTTTGAGTGTTAAGTACTTTTTAAGTACTAGGGTCCTCCACCAAGTTTTGAGTGTTAAGTACTTTTTAAGTACTAGGGTCCTCCACCAAGTTTGAGTGTTAAGTACTTTTTAAGTACTAGGGTCCTCCACCAAGTTTTCCTATTATCAACCTCCTATCAACCTAGATAGAGTCTATATCATACTTAGTTACTCATAACTAATCCAATACATAAATTCTTATGTATCACAATCCATGCAAAACCATGCATTTATATAGATTTATACTTAATTAATACCAACCGGTATTAATTAAATCCTTTGTTCTTCGGTCCACGTTTTCGTTGACCGCCATTTCATGCCTTGTGTGTATCAACTTAATCATCATATAATTAAGTTAAAAAAATTCATTTGTGCTCCTAATACACTTCAAGCAAATATGCATTCATATAATTCTTCATATCATAGTCCATGCATCAACAATTAATTTCTTTCATACAAACTTAACCCTATTGGCTAATCACATGTTTAAATATCTTTTAAACATTATTATGAACTCATATAACATTTATTTAGGTAATCTCATAATTAACCCAAAAGTTATAAGATATTAAGCCGTCCACTCACCTTGAACTAGCGTTATGAAGTTCTACCCCTCTTGGTTGAACTCCGGTGAAACTCCGGCGACTTTCGGTCAACTCCGGCGACAACTCCGGCGACTTTTCCAACTTTGTGAAATCACTTGAAATACCTTCCACAAGTTCCTAACAAGGTTTTATAATCATAAAACCCATATTAATACAAATAACCTCAAAAAGGTTATTTTCCGGTGAACCGGTCGTTTTGGCTCCTAAGTCCGTTCTTGGACATAGAATCACTTTCCAATCCATTAATCCATACTTATAACATGTAGAACCCTCTTAAGGATTCTTCACATGATATATATCTCATATGGTAGAAGAAAAATAGAGAGGAAGTTATAATAAGGTCATTACCTTAATTATTTCACACCTTTTAGCACTTTAGCCTTTTCTTGGGTGATTCTTCCTTGATGTGCTCTCTTCGACAATGGTGGAAGGAAGAAGAAGAGTTTTCTTTCTCTTCTTGCTGCAGCTTGGCCGAAAATGGGGGGAGAGAGGGGTGAGGCTTACCCCTTTGTCTCATTGAGCAAATGAGTGTGGATGGGGGCCACCTCATTTTTTGTTTGATGCTTAATTGATCACATCAACCTCCCCCTCCCATGTTCTCCTCTTCAAACAGCCGACCAAGCCTTCAATTTGAGTGGCAAAAATCGTGGGTTGGCCCCCACTCATGTGGGAGGTCAACCCTTTTTGTCCCGGATTGTACAATTTGTCCCGAAAGTTGTATTTTTCGGACTGTTTTAAATATATTTTATTTTATCGGGTCAAATAAAATATATTATGTGCTCTTACTCATTATGACATGTATAATGAATATACATTCCCCAACTTTAATTTATAAGCCTCCGAAATTCATTTCCGGGCTGTTATCTGTTAAATTGTCGGTACCGGTAATTGGGCCTCTTTTTCCCAATCGGTCAACTCTGCGCCTTTCCACGACCCAAATAAAATATCCACCACTATATAAACATTATCTTGACCAAGATGAATAAAATATATGGTCTCGGGAGTGTCGGGCGGCCCCCGCTCCCGGTGTGGGTCCCACGTGCAATTTACTATTCACGCGAAAGAAATAATAAAAATTTACAACTTCGTAAATTCATTAATCCTTTAATAAGGTTCAATACATTATTTACATAAAAGTAAATATATTTGGGGACGGTGTTACAAGTTCACCCCCCCTTATTTGGGATTTCGTCCCCGAAATCCAAGTATCTAATCGAAGAGAAATGGGTATTGCTCCCTCATTGAGACCTCGGTCTCCCAAGTTTCCTCTTCGACTCGATCACTCCTCCAAAGAACCTTCACCATAGGAATCTCCTTGTTCCTAAGTTTCTTCACTTGTTGACCAACAATCTTCACTGGTTCCACCGCATATTGCAAGTCCTCACGGATCTCCACCGGTGGTTTCTCAAGAATATGAGATGGGTCTCGTATGTACTTCTTGAGCATTGATACATGAAACACGTCATGTATCTTCTCAAGTTCAGGCGTCAACTTGAGACGGTAAGCCACGGCCCCTATCCTTTCAAGGATTTCAAATGGACCGATGTATCGGGGGTTAAGCTTTCCCCTCGATACGAATCGAATGATGCCCTTCCAAGGAGAAATCCTTAGGAAGACCTCATCACCGACTTCGAACTCCAACGGTCTCCGCCGTTTATCAGCATAACTCTTCTGTCGGTCCTGAGCAGCCTTCAATCTATCCCGAATGATCCTTACCTTGGCCTTGGTAATCTCAACCAGCTCTATCCCTTCGAGTTTGGCCTCGCCAACCTCGTCCCAACACAACGGTGTTCTACATTTCCTCCCATACAATGCCTCATATGGAGGCATGCCGATACTTGCTTGATAACTGTTGTTATAAGCAAACTCCACTAGGGCCAAATGCTTGTCCCAACTTCCTTGGAACTCCAAAGCACATGCCCTAAGCATGTCTTCCAAAATCTGTATCACCCGCTCGGACTGTCCATCCGTCTGTGGGTGAAAAGCTGTGCTAAACTTCAGTTTAGTACCCAGCGATGCTTGAAACTTTGGCCAAAATCGGGATGTGAATCGTGGATCCCTATCCGAAACAATGGATATCGGGACTCCATGTAGTCTCACAATCTCCTCCGTGTAAAGCTTGGCCAATCTTTCAAGAGGATAAGTAATGTTGATAGGCAAAAAGTGTGCACTCTTGGTGAGCCTATCAACCACTACCCAAACTGCATCATAGTTGTTCACTGTTCGTGGTAGCCCCACCACGAAGTCCATGGTCACGTGCTCCCACTTCCACTCTGGGATGGTGAGTGGCTGCAAAAGCCCTGCCGGGTGCTGATGCTCTGCCTTAACTTGCTGGCAAGTAAGGCACCGACTCACATACTCAGCAATGTCTCTCTTCATACCTGACCACCAGTAACTTTCCTTCAAATCTCGGTACATCTTAGTACCTCCTGGATGCATAGCATAAGCTGAAGAATGAGCCTCCTCAAGTATAGATTTCTTGAGTTCCTCATTCCTTGGTATGTACACACGATCCTTAAACAATAACAGACCGTCATCACGTACCCGGAAATTCTCAACGGGCCCCGCAAGGATCCTTTCACGGATCTTCTGACATTCCTCATCCATGGCCTGACTTCGACTAATCTCGCCCAATAGGGTGGGCCTAACCTCAAATTGAGCAATGAGAGTCCCGCACGTGGACACCTCCACGCGTGCCCTCAATGCCTGCAGACAAGTAAGTAACGTCCCTGACGTATTCTTCCTGCTCAGTGCGTCGGCCACTACGTTGGCCTTTCCGGGATGATAGTCGATGATCAAGTCATAGTCCTTGATCAACTCCATCCATCTCCTTTGTCTCATATTCAACTCTTTTTGAGTGAATACATACTTCAAGCTCTTATGATCGGTATAAATGTGACACGTTTCCCCGTAGAGATAATGCCTCCAAATCTTCAATGCAAACACTACCGCCCCCAACTCTAGGTCGTGAGTAGGGTAGTTCACCTCGTGTTTTCTCAATTGCCTAGAAGCATAGGCAATCACCTTACCGTTTTGCATTAGTACACATCCAAGCCCTTGGATGCTAGCATCGCTGTAAATGTCATACCCTATCCCCTGTATGGGTAGGGCAAGGACTGGTGCTTCGGTAAGTCGTTTCTTCAGTTCAAGGAACCCTTTCTCACACTTGTCGTCCCATATGAACTTGGCCCCTTTCTTTGTGAGCTTCGTTAATGGAGACGCCAATACGGAGAATTTTTCAACAAATTTACGATAGTATCCCGCTAAGCCAAGGAAACTACGTATCTCCTTCGCATTCCTGGGTCTCTCCCAATCCATGATCGCTTTTATCTTGGCGTTATCCACAGCAACACCTGAACTGGATATGACATGACCGAGGAAACCAATCTCTTTGAGCCAAAATTCGCATTTGGAGAACTTGGCGAAGAGTTGCTTTTCCCTTAGCCGATCAAGTACAAGCCCCAAATGGTGTTCGTGCTCTTCCTCGCTCTTGGAGTATATCAAGATGTCGTCAATGAATACTATCACAAATTTGTCTAAGTATTCACTAAACACACGGTTCATCAAGTCCATGAATGCCGCCGGTGCGTTGGTTAAACCAAACGACATCACAAGGAATTCATAATGACCATATCTAGTGCGAAATGCACTCTTATGTATGTCACTCTCCTTGATCTTCAACTGATGATACCCCGACCTCAAGTCAATCTTCGAGAACACTATTGCTCCTCGAAGTTGATCGAACAAGTCATCAATCCTCGGTAAGGGATACCTGTTCTTGATGGTGACCTTGTTCAACTGTCGGTAGTCGATACACATTCTTAGTGTACCATCTTTCTTCTTTACGAACAGTACGGGTGCTCCCCACGGTGAATGACTGGGTCTGATGAACCCGTTGTCCAATAGTTCTTGTAGCTGGACCTTCAACTCTTGAAGTTCGGCCGGTGCCATTCGATAAGGAGGAATCGAAATGGGTTTGGTTCCCGGCTCCACTTCGATTACAAATTCAATCTCTCTATCGGGTGGAAGCCCCGGTAGGTCCTTGGGAAAGACGTCCGGGTACTTGCACACGACTCGAACATCCTTGATGTCGACTTCTTTCTTCGTATCATCTACCACGTAAGCAAGGTATGCGTGGCATCCCTTCCTCATCATCTTTCGTGCTCTCATCACGGATATGATACAAGCATTAGATTTCCCCCGATCTCCTTCAAAACGTAGCATGTTTCCTTGCTCATCCTCGAGCTCCAACACCTTGGTGTAGCAATCTACTCGAGCATGGTGCTTCTCAAGCCAATCCATTCCTAGGATTGCATCGAACTCCAACATGCTTAGAGGTACGAAATCACAAGTCAAAGGTTGACCCGTCACTTCTACCTCACACGACGGATAGTAATGATTCCTCTCCACGTCGTTTCCTAACGGTGTGGAGACTAGCAACGTTTGCGTCATAGGTGTCAATGGCACGTCAATGCCCTCGGCGAACGCCTCACTCACAAATGAGCGTTGTGCCCCGGTATCGATGAGGATCCTCGCACACCTACCATTGATCTTTAACGTTCCTACATTTATACACCATGTGAGATACATCTTCTAATGTTTTTACACATCTTTGGAAGGTTATTAGGTTCATACTAATGTTTGGAATCGAACGGGGGTCCAAACGTAGAAGAACGGGGCGGAAAAATCCGATTTCCGGGTTCTGGGGTCCACGCACGGCGTGCCTGGGTGGCACGCACGGCCGTGCGTGCATCGGACCCTTCCTGCTCAACACTGCCTCCCAGGCACGGTGCCAGGCACGGCGTGCCTGCGGCCGTGCCTGGCCGAATTCCTTCGGGGTGAGCCTGCCTTCCAGGCACGACGCCAGGCACGGCGTGCCTGCGGCCGTGCCTGGCTGAATTTTCTTCGGGGTGAGCCTGCCTTCCAGGCACGACGCCAGGCACGGCGTGCCTGCGGCCGTGCCTGGCCCAAAAATTTTTTTTTTTTTCTTCCCTTTTTCTCTTCGGGTGCCACTACCTTCCAGGCACGATTCCAGGCACGGCGTGCCTGAGGGCGTGCCTGGCCGGCAGTGGCTGTTTCCAGCCAGATTCGGCCTAACTCACCCGGTTCGACCCCGAGGTGGCCCACACTCAATCCCAACGACGTATATGATCAAAGCAAGCCTAGAAATACATGGGAATACGCGTATTACCTGCAACGGAGTCCGGATTTGCTCTCGCATCCGCCTCGGTCATCGCGTAGACTCGTGCTTGGGTCCCGCCTTGGTTTACGGATGCGGCATGGCTCGTTGATGCGCCGCCTCTCCCCGTGCCGCCGTTTGACGGCCCCGCACGGTTCCTTCCCGTCGTGGTTCCTCCTCCGGATCCCGGAGCTCCTCCTCCTCCTAGTTGTGGGCAATTGGCCTTCATGTGGCCCGTGTTTCCACATTGATAACACCTCGGGGGTGCGTTGCATTTCCCAAAGTGATTTTTCGAACAATTAGCACACCTAGGGGGTCCCGTCTTTTGAGAGGAGGATGCATGCCACCGAGCATCCCTGTTCTTCTTTGCCGGTGGTGCCGGTGTTTTGAACGAACCCCCACCTCCGCCGTGTTTATCCCTCCGTGCCTGCTCGGGTGGCCCCGAACCATGCCATTTCCTCTTTTTCGCCTCTTCGGCGTCCCTCTCTTTTCTTTCATTCCATTGGGCCTCCCCAAGAAGGCCCTGCTCCACCACCTCGCTAAAGGTCATGTGGCGCGAGTACGTAGCCCGATCACGGATGTCCAAGAGTAAGGCATCCCAAAAGTGCTCCGTCATACGGTTCTCATCAACCGCGTACTCTGGTAAGAACCTAGCCAAGGTTCTAAACTCTTGTTCCAGCTGCTTAACTGTGCCGCCCTCTTTCTGTTTAAGGTTAGTGTACTCTCTCCGTTTCACATTCACCTCGTACTCGGAGTAGTATTGAGCATAGAACTCTAGCTCAAAGTCCGCCCATGTTATTTCCCCATGGTACTTCCCTTCCACGCTCTCCCACCACGTAGAAGCTATCCCTTCAAGTAGCCGTGAAGCGACAGTCAACTTCACGTCCGGTGTGATTTGCATGTCCCTTGATGCATCCTTCATCTTCTTAATCCAATCGGCGGCAACGGTAATGTCACCGGTGCCGTCAAAGGACCTACACCCCAAGGCCCTAGCCTCCTTGAGGTACTTGGAGATTCTCACAACAAAACCTCCTTCACGCCCACCTTGTGACGCCGCTGGGGTGGCCACGGAAGCTCCCCGGCTTCCTTGACCCGAACCACCGCGAGAGCCACGCCTCGCTTGGCGCCTAAGGTCCCTCCTCAATTTTTCTTTTTGATACCATTCAAGCAATTCGCCCATCTGGGCGAACTTGGCATCACTCTCTTCATCATCATCATCGGTGTACGTGTCACCCCCATCATACGGGGTCTCTTCATGCTCCGTCTCTGGCACGTAGGTTGAGTCGTAGTCTTCGGTGTTGGTCTCATACACCGAGCTCACATGGCCATCACTCACAGTTTGAGCTTGATGACCTCCACGGCTTCCACGGCCTCCACGGCCTCCTCTCGAACCCCGAGATGCAGCCCGGCTTCCCCTTTGGGATGCTACCGGCGCCTGCCCCCTCGGATTGTTCCTGGTCCTAATTCGCCTGCCCTCCATTTCTGAAAGAAATATGGATGAGTCATTAGACTCCTATAAATGTCAACTGACGGAAGAACGTTACAGACACGTATTGGCCCAAGTCACTACCATACCAATTGTTAAGGGTACCGTCTTAACAATTAGAGGCCTTGCAACTTAAGCACCAATAGTCCTATAAACGTCAAAATACAATGCTCATGGTTTTCGGTAAAAACTCTTTTGTAAATTTTTTTTTGTGAGAGGTTGATTATAACGTTTAGAACTGAGATGGCTCTGATACCACTTAATTGTCACGCCCCAGACCGCAATCCAAGCGCGTGTACAACCGCCGTATAATCAAGTGACGTCACCCGCGAGTCAACCTCACTTAATTACACAAGGCGTTCGAGAATATAAACCATCCATACTCAGTAGTAAACATACATAACAACATCACATTTAAACCAATGAATAGCGGAAATATTCAACGGTAAGTCATAGGCCACAACCGGCCAACAACATGGGCATGCAAGCCCCAAAAGTAGTTTATAACAAATGAAAATATCCATGAGCAATGTTTAGTAATTTGAAAAGAAATGAGGAAGCACGAACCACGTCTTCCTTGACTTGATGTCACCCGTAGAAAGGTGCAGGTAGCAAGCCCTAGCTTCAACCTGAAAATGGTGGGGCCCCCCGAAGGGGTCAGTACAAGTACCGAGCGAGTAGCAGGCTAAATATAGAATAACTAGCGTTTCAAGTATAAGACCCAAACATAGGGTGATACTTAAATAGATAGTCTTTCCCCCAAGTTATGAAATACTTATTTATATATATATACTTGGAAAATATCCGATCCGTAGATCACCATTTTTATTTGGGAAAAATAGTATTAGTCAATATTCTTGACTAAAAACCCCAACCCACCCATATACCTATGAGTGTATAGGACTCCTCCTTGTCCCTATTTGTATATCATAATTTATGAGTTTTAGGATCAAAATCCTCGGATACTCCACCGGTTTGTGAGTGTTAAGGCCTCATAAGTCCTAGGGTCCTCCACCGAGTTTTGAGTGTTAAGTACTTTAAGTACTAGGGTCCTCCACCAAGTTTGAGTGTTAAGTACTTTTTAGGTACTAGGGTCCTCCACCAAGTTTTGAGTGTTAAGTACTTTTTAAGTACTAGGGTCCTCCACCAAGTTTTGAGTGTTAAGTACTTTTTAAGTACTAGGGTCCTCCACCAAGTTTGAGTGTTAAGTACTTTTTAAGTACTAGGGTCCTCCACCAAGTTTTGAGTGTTAAGTACCTTTTAAGTACTAGGGTCCTCCACCAAGTTTTGAGTGTTAAGTACTTTTTAAGTACTAGGGTCCTCCACCAAGTTTTGAGTGTTAAGTACTTTTTAAGTACTAGGGTCCTCCACCAAGTTTGAGTGTTAAGTACTTTTTAAGTACTAGGGTCCTCCACCAAGTTTTCCTATTATCAACCTCCTATCAACCTAGATAGAGTCTATATCATACTTAGTTACTCATAACTAATCCAATACATAAATTCTTATGTATCACAATCCATGCAAAACCATGCATTTATATAGATTTATACTTAATTAATACCAACCGGTATTAATTAAATCCTTTGTTCTTCGGTCCACGTTTTCGTTGACCGCCATTTCATGCCTTGTGTGTATCAACTTAATCATCATATAATTAAGTTAAAAAAATTCATTTGTGCTCCTAATACACTTCAAGCAAATATGCATTCATATAATTCTTCATATCATAGTCCATGCATCAACAATTAATTTCTTTCATACAAACTTAACCCTATTGGCTAATCACATGTTTAAATATCTTTTAAACATTATTATGAACTCATATAACATTTATTTAGGTAATCTCATAATTAACCCAAAAGTTATAAGATATTAAGCCGTCCACTCACCTTGAACTAGCGTTATGAAGTTCTACCCCTCTTGGTTGAACTCCGGTGAAACTCCGGCGACTTTCGGTCAACTCCGGCGACAACTCCGGCGACTTTTCCAACTTTGTGAAATCACTTGAAATACCTTCCACAAGTTCCTAACAAGGTTTTATAATCATAAAACCCATATTAATACAAATAACCTCAAAAAGGTTATTTTCCGGTGAACCGGTCGTTTTGGCTCCTAAGTCCGTTCTTGGACATAGAATCACTTTCCAATCCATTAATCCATACTTATAACATGTAGAACCCTCTTAAGGATTCTTCACATGATATATATCTCATATGGTAGAAGAAAAATAGAGAGGAAGTTATAATAAGGTCATTACCTTAATTATTTCACACCTTTTAGCACTTTAGCCTTTTCTTGGGTGATTCTTCCTTGATGTGCTCTCTTCGACAATGGTGGAAGGAAGAAGAAGAGTTTTCTTTCTCTTCTTGCTGCAGCTTGGCCGAAAATGGGGGGAGAGAGGGGTGAGGCTTACCCCTTTGTCTCATTGAGCAAATGAGTGTGGATGGGGGCCACCTCATTTTTTGTTTGATGCTTAATTGATCACATCAACCTCCCCCTCCCATGTTCTCCTCTTCAAACAGCCGACCAAGCCTTCAATTTGAGTGGCAAAAATCGTGGGTTGGCCCCCACTCATGTGGGAGGTCAACCCTTTTTGTCCCGGATTGTACAATTTGTCCCGAAAGTTGTATTTTTCGGACTGTTTTAAATATATTTTATTTTATCGGGTCAAATAAAATATATTATGTGCTCTTACTCATTATGACATGTATAATGAATATACATTCCCCAACTTTAATTTATAAGCCTCCGAAATTCATTTCCGGGCTGTTATCTGTTAAATTGTCGGTACCGGTAATTGGGCCTCTTTTTCCCAATCGGTCAACTCTGCGCCTTTCCACGACCCAAATAAAATATCCACCACTATATAAACATTATCTTGACCAAGATGAATAAAATATATGGTCTCGGGAGTGTCGGGCGGCCCCCGCTCCCGGTGTGGGTCCCACGTGCAATTTACTATTCACGCGAAAGAAATAATAAAAATTTACAACTTCGTAAATTCATTAATCCTTTAATAAGGTTCAATACATTATTTACATAAAAGTAAATATATTTGGGGACGGTGTTACACTGCATGTGCTTCTTTGTTATGAATCAAGGTCAGTCCATTCAATTTTTAAATGGGACATCCAGAAACGGTCTCTTTGTGCTTTAGTATAAGGAAAGCAAGGAGATAAGGTTGCGTACATCCCACCCCGTTAGCTCACTAGTGCCTTTGAGGCACTAAGATAATGTGGGGTAATGTTGTTTTTTGTTTGATTGAACAAATCCAATCAAAGAGATGCTAGAGAAGACATATGAGAAGAACGACACGGAGGGGCATAGAGGTCATGAAATGGCCTGAAAGCCGTGTGGGGTGTATTTCATCCACAAATTTTGACTTGTGAAGAGTTAAAGAGTGAAGACTGCTCAATTCCTATAGCGCTCAGGCCTTTATTAATTACGGAATGTTATAGTTCCATAGTTCTATACTTCTATATGTGTACTACTTTCCTTGCTATTAAAATTGTCTCGTTTTCTTTTTTAGTCTCTTCCCCTAAGATTGTCATACACCACATTTGATAAAAGTTTGTGTAATACTAAACCATTCATGCTTTATCAATTCAATGACTTGATGAGGAACATGCTCAAAAAATTTCATCAAAAAATTCCACCGGGAAGGTGCCCAAACGGGCTCGGCCGGACGGGGCAGTCCGTCAGGCCGGCCTGATGAGATGATTTCTCATATTATAGTATACTTATATATTATAGCATCACTCCCACCGAACACTTTATGGAGGAAACAACAACCGACGAGCGCGGAGATTCCGATTCATTATAAATTTATAATTTATTAAAAATTAGAAATGTATTTCATGTTTTAATTTATTCTCAATTGTACCTCATATTTCACATAAATATACTCGAAGTTTTTTTTTATATCCAGCACTTCTAGAATTAATTAGGAAACAAGAAAAAAAATTGACCCGGAACCGGCCCGAGCTAGTACCCGGGCGGGTGGCCTGGCCCGAACTGTTCAACACCCGGGTGTGTGCTGGGCTTCAAGCTCACAAAAAAGGCCAGGTCGGGCTCAACCCGGAACTGGACCGAGCCCGGTCTATGACTAGTTTGGAATATGATTGAATAAAGCAAAATGACACACTAAACTGTTTGCCTTTTTTGTCATGAAGCAGCAGTCATTTCATGAAGTATTTGATGATATTTTCATCATGGGTCATCCAGAATCAGTTTATGTATGCTTTAGTATAGGGGTAAGGTTGCGTGCATCTGTCCCCCTACTCTATCATTGGTGGGAGCCTTTTGTGGCACTGAGGTAATGTTGTTGTTATTGTAATGTACTTTAAATTTGTTGTTAAAGTAATTTGGATATAAAATATGTGTTAGGTGTGCAAAACACAGATAATTCATTTCTTCAATAGAATGTAATAAAAAATAAAAGGTATGAAAAAAATTAAATAATTGGTACTCCCTCTGTTTCCAAAAATACTTCCTACTTTGCTTTTTGGGCCGTTCCCAAAAATACTTTCCACTTAGCCCTTTTGGACAGTTTGTGTGGTTCACATTCATTTTACCTTTTTCTTACACAATTACACATTTCCACTTTCTTAATAAGCGTGTCATTCAAACTTGGAAGAATTTTTAGGAACGGGGTTAGTATAAAATATACTACGTATTATGTGTACGTATTAATCATTTTGGTTCCAATTTAATAACTATCCAAATTAATACGAGTAAGTAATAGATTGTCTGTAGTGCTTTTGTCGTTTTACCCATTATATGAATGCTGTTATATCAATTTAAGTCATCCGTTTTGAAAATCAAAAAAATTATTAAAGGATGTGAATAGAGTAAAAGTATATTTCTGATAATGCAGGAGTGCGAATGATAATACGTCAAACTTCGAGGGGATGGTCAATGATTGTTTCGCTAAAATGAATCTGTTTAATTCAAAAAAATCAAATTTATATGTATGATTTTGTAGAGAATATTTATTTTATTTAATAGCTATTTGATCTAAAAATAAAAAACAAATTTAACAACTTTGTTACAAATTAGTTACAGAGCACGTGGTTTTGTTTCCTACCCTCTAAAATTCTCTCATAACCGTCTTCGTGGTCAGCTTAGCTTCTCTCATACAGTATTTTCTCTGTTGCTCTGTAATGGGGTTTAGCTACTCCTCTGCTACGTCAACTTCTTCTCCATATGAGGAGGCCAACTTCTTCTCAAGGTAGTCTACTTCCTCTCTTCTGGCATAATTCTATGAATGGCGGAATGTTTGTGGTAAGTTTCATAGAGTTTTCTGCCAATAGCTTCTAATCTCTAGTAGTTATTCTCTACCCCATTGGTTCTCATGAATATTTCTATTCAGCAGAAGGAATCGTTCGCCTCCACTAGGGCGTGGCCATCTTGACTCCATCTCCATGGACGTAATGTCTCCTTCCCTCCCTGAAAAAAATTCCGCATTATCTATGTTACGTTTTCGCACTCACACAAGTGAAATTTCAGCGTCGTTCCTTTGTATTGGCATTTCATATTGTACTGGATCTCTTATCTCAAATGGCCGTTGAATATGTTCTCATTAGGTTAAGTGATGTCTGAGTTGTTTTATAAATTTGCAGTTGAACAGCATCATCGAAGAATTAGGGAGGGTCTCTGGTGCAGTCTATACCCTCAGGTGTTCTACCTATTCCAACTGCACTGCACTACACTCAATTTAGTTGGCCTTCCTTTTGACTTCTACCTCAAAACTGTTCTCCCCCTCACCCCCACCCCCTCACCCGCCCGCCTATGATTTCATTTTTAGGTTTTTACTTTCCCTATGCTTTTTCTCATTTCCGTTTCTGTTTTCTGCCCTAGATTTGCGTGGAATTTGGATGAGATGCTACTACATACTATATGTTGTGATCTTAAGGTACTACTGAAACTGTATTATACTTTTGTATCAGGTGTATTTTTATCGTAAATAGAGAGTTATATTCTTGGCTTGCACTTTTGCAGTGGAGTAGTGCTTTTTTCCCCTCTACACTGTTTGGGTGTCCGTACTGGTTGGTGTCTCTTCCTGTCCAGGATTGCTCCTCTGCAACCTCCACCGCCTCAGTAACTGATAGGGAGAGGGTGGGAGTGGTGCAGTACCAGTTGATGATCACTGCCGCATTGCAGAGACACCCCAACCATCAGTCAGTGGGTGGATATGATGATGCTAACTTCTTATACATGGTCAAGGTTTTGTACTTCCTATTGTCATCCAGTATTCTATGATTGATGAAATTTCTGTGCTAAGTTTCAATTGAATCTGTGCTAGTTCTCGATTAGCTGCCAATAGCTTCTTATATTTGCTCTTTGCTCTCATGGATTATTCTATGCAGCAGAAGAAAACATCGGCCTCCACTATGCCTTCATGGAGTAGCCTTCTTCAATCCATCTCCAAACAAGTAATTTCTCCCCCCCCCCCCCCTCTCCCTGTCCCTCTCCATTTTGAACATATTTTACTGCGTATATCCAATAAACGTCAGTTAATAACATTTGAAATTCTCCTATTACAGTATGGATCGTCGATGGTATACTCGCAAGTGCTGGAGTGCTCCGCCCTTCATTTACTCAGCATTTGCCGCTCTTCTTTGCAACCTCTCTGCAACTGCAAGATCACGCCTTACGCCTTCTCCGTTGTCTTCACTTCCGATAATTTGAAGAGAAATCAAGACCTTAACAGACTGGAAATAATCGGAAAAGAGGAGTCAGTTGCACTTCTCAAGTTGCTCAAACTTGGAGAAGGCGAAGGCAAGTCGTTCGAATGGATTCTCCAAGAAGAGTTCAAATCAGAATTCAAACCCATTCGTTATATCGAAGTATGTGCTACCCTCGCTGCAATCCTTGAGGTACAAATCGAGCCTTACTTCATCCCTCTACAAGCGCGACCTTTACCACTCCCCGGTGGCGTGTCTGTATATTGTATACATGCAGGTGTGCCTGTGGGTTTTCTTCGATAATGATATTGATAAGTTCGTCTATGTGTCTGTCTTTCCTCAACTCATCAGTCATCATGCACTAAATTTTGAATCTGCTGCACTGTTTAAATCAGAATGAAGGGGTTGTTCCGAGATTGAAATAGACAGTCAAGTCTATATAAGACGAAAATAAAATGATAAAAATTCCTTCCTATTCATCTTGATCTGTTTTTGGTTGCTTAACTTCCATATTTTTGGTCATAAAAGTAGTTTTCTTATGTGATTTGGTAAAAATGGTTTATCTTGGGCATGTTATGATCTGTTTCAAAAAACACATTACATTATTGATACCTGTCAATTACTTTTTGTTTTCTTTTCGACATTTTCCTTTCTTGGTTAAAGTGTAGGTGATTTGTTCGTCCAAGGTCAGCATTTTAAGAATGCACTAGCAAAACTGCATTAACGTTTTTTTTTTGGGGGGGGGGACCTGGAGAAAAAGTGTGTGGATGATGACCGCAAATCACCAACCTATTTTTACTATGTGCAAAATAAATTCAATATTTTCTTGTCTGCAAATTTTAAGTGAAAGTGTGAAACTAAATATCATGTATAAGGCACTGACCATGAGTTTCCTGTTTTGCGCACTTGGAATGTTGTTGCATTGAGTGCAAATCATTGAACATGTAAACCAAACTGCATAAGTTATTTTGAGATAATTGCAGGACACGGTACTTAATCCCTCCAATCGGTTGGTTCCCTTTGCAATTGTTCATCAAGCATGTTCTTCCCCAACGTTTTCTTCAGATCCATTCCTCCCGATTCTTATGAATGTAAGTTTTCCGGCAGAGTGCAATCGTGCTGCCACAGTCAAAGACGTTTGGTTTCAAATTGCTTTCCCTGTGCTATTTTGCTTCATTGTTTCAGTATGCTCACTCTGAATTGATCAGTGCATTAGATTGTTATGGAAATGCATCCAACATTGAATGTTTTTGTAGGTAATAGGTGGAAACGAAGGTGCACCGCTGGATGAAAGGGGAGAAGGATCGGAGGGTTCAGATATAGTTGAAGATTTGGTCCTGTCTGACGATTCTGACGACAATTATCGCGAAAGGCTCATTCCAGTGTATGAAGATGGCATAGAAGAGAAAGTTGGCGAAGTAAGCTTAATCGAAGCTTTTGGCTACACCAGTTTTGCCAGGCAGGTGGCTCGTGCAAATAAAGAAGAGAATGAGCGAGGCGGGGAAGGCTGGCTAGCTGGCATCTTCCATGTGCTCTGGCCGTGGCCCCGGTATGATACAACCTATCACGATGTTCACGACGAAGTGTTAGATCCTAGGAAGGTCCATTGGCTCTCCTTTCTAAGGTCTATCCAACTCGTTCGAGTGAAGAGAAGTTATATGGATCCTGTTGGCCAAGTAATACGGGTTCGGTTCTGGAGTCTGGAAAAGGTGGATGAAGTCGTGATGCAGAGAAAGTATATCCATAGCCGGAGGGATTTCGTAGCCGTGCTGCATATGACTTGGGCCGCCTGGAAAGATCAAGAACCCAGCTATCAATGCCCCGCTGAGGCCGTGGTTGATGGGGGGCGATTGCAATATCTCCGATCAAACCTCAGTGAGATCCCTTTTGAGTTGGAGGACGATAGAGAAGACGACTCGGAGGATCCTGAGTGGGACTCCTTCTTCGCGGCAGTGTCCTTGATCATATGCACCACAACTGATACCCCGTAATTGACAGGAAAAGGAATGGATCGCCTATGGACAACTATCACCTTTTCCTCTATTTTCTTAATTTTCCGTGACATTGCAATAAAAGGTGGCATGAACACTCTTGTTTGGTTTAGAATGTTTGGTTAATGTGTCTTCCATAACTTCTTCCTATCGATCAAATTGACGTGCAAACTTGATGATTTCAAATATATCCTCTTGTGATATACTACGTATTTAATTTTGTCTAAGTTATTTATGCTTTAGGATCTTAGATTAATAGTTTTTTTTTGTTGATCCAAGCCTATGAATTTTACCTATACACACACACTTCGTAACTTTAATGCTTAATGTTACACATTACTTCCGTCCCGATTTAAGGTTTCCATTGTAAAATAGCCCAATTATTTTCCAAAAACCGCAAAATGAATTTGACTACCTCCTTTACCCGTTGAACGCGTGGTTCGACTCACCACACAAACTTGCTCAAGCGGAGGAAAATATCTACCAATCTTAAGAAGGCAATATTGATTACATGTAAATTAATTAATTAAATTTAACCCTTAAAAACATCTGTTGTTTGAAGTGCTATAACTTCTTTATTTGCACTCCGATTGTTATCAACAATACATCAAAATTTATAAATTTTTATTATCTTTCATATGCAACCAATGTTGCATATATATAAAAATAAAAAAAATCAATTTTGATAATTTGTACACGCTATTAATCCAGAGTGACAGCTTAGAATAAAATTGAACAAACTCCATCACTTTTAGGGGTGGGCATGGGTCGGGACGGTTCGGGATTAGGGTTATCCCGGTCCCGTCCCAATTAATAATAACAGGACGGGACAAGCCTTTGTCTTAGTCTTGTCCCATTTAAATCGGGACCGGGATGATTCGGAACGGTTCGGGACGGTTCGAGATGTCCCAAACTAACAAAAAATAATCATTTGTAATATATATATATATATATATATAGATTTTGGTTCAGGTGAGAAAAGCATCTAATGTTCCACCGGGAAGGCGCCCAAACGGGCTCGGCCGGACGGGGCAGCCCGTCAGGCCGGCCTGACATGATGATTTCTATATATATATATATATATATATATATATATATATATATATATATATATATATATATATATATATATATATATATATATATATATATATATATATATATATTTTGGTTCAGGTGAGAAAAGCATCTAATGTTCCACCGGGAGGCGCCCAAACGGGCTCGGCCGGACGGGGCAGCCCGTCAGGCCGGCCTGACATGATGATTTCTATATATATATATATATATATATATATATATATATATATATATATACATATATATATATATATATATATACATATATATATATATATATACATATATATATATATATATATATATATATAGACAAATCTTCATGTTAAAAGGTAATTGCCAAAAAAAAGTTTCATTTTTGCCAAAAAAAATTATTTTTTACGAATGTGACACGCTACTATTTTTAAATAGGTAATGACCCAATTCGTTTACCTTTTGATCGATACGTTAAAAGCTGACATTCATTCTTATTTTTTAAATATGGAACGATTCAATTTCATTTCAAGCTTAACCCGAGCATATTTGCACACATACGCACAAATGTAAAATCACAATTGTTACTACGTAAATGATTTTTTGGAAAATCGTTCAACCACTCCGTTAAAATACTATAGAATACGTTAATAAATACGGAGTACGTTTTACTATAAAATACGACCATATTTAGTTGACCAAAGTAGCAATACGTACACTTGGCAATCCACCAATATAAGAAAGGACATGATCTCCCTCTTTTCCCAGGCCGAGTTTCCGTCTTCGATCTTCAGCCTACCTAATAATTAAATTAAAGTAATTAAAAATTATGGGGTCGACGGATGATCAGAAGAACCAGCTCAGGAGCCGAGCCGAGTGGAAAGACGAGGAGGCTGACAGCTTGTATGCGATGCAGCTGGCCAGCGCCTCAGTGCTTCCCATGGTGCTGAAAGCAGCGGTGGAGCTGGACCTGCTGGAGCTCATGGCTCAAGCCGGACCGGGAGCAGCCGTGTCCCCTTCTGAGCTGGCGGCTCAGCTCCCCACCACTAACCCGGACGCAGCCGTCATGCTGGACCGGATTCTCCGCCTCCTCTGCACCTACTCTGTCTTGAACTGCTCTCTCCGCACCCTCGCCGACGGCCGGGTGGAGCGGCTCATAAATAAATAAAGATAAGATATTTGTAATTTTTTAAATGGTACAATACATTATCTTGTCATTTATTAATATTTAAATAAATTGTTCAATTATTATACGGAGTACTACCTACTATTTTAATTAGGTGACAACTCCGGTACATTTCTAAAATATGGGATATCGTACCTATCATTCATTTGATTGGACCACATCACTTTATCTTTTTTAATTTAGATTTTAATAATTCAACTGCTACATTCTCATTGGTTCATGTGAACGAAGGTATGATACCTTATGGATAACATATAATCTACCTTTTAATTAATTCTTAGACAAAAAGATAGCGCAATATTGCCTTTCCTGAAATTTAGTTAATACTACCTCCGTCCCGTTGGAATGTTCCCGTTCGGATTACGATGCTTGACTGACGATAAAGCAACTCGATCCCTGTTCACACTCCGCTTATTTTTAGTAAATAAAATTTACATATTCAGAAACTACATTAAAACCGCTACAAAGCCTGATCAAGAAAAGTTCAATTTGATAAAAATGTGATATATAAAGTAAAAAATTAAGAGTGACCTAAGTTGACCAATGAATAGAGAACGAGAACATTCCAACGGGACGGAGGGAGTATTTAATAACGTTCCCCGGGCCTAAAGGTCCTCAGATCATTCATTTTTCTTCCTCCAAATAATACCCCGTAATATTTTTCGTATTCTCAATTTTTTAATTATTATCTCACACACCATCCGTACCATAAAAGTATATTGTTAAATTGTTCTTATTAAAAATCGTTTCATAAAAATATAAAACTGATAAATAAATAAAAAGTATAAAATTGATAAACTATATACAAATATACTACCGTATCACATCATAAATTTCATAATTAACTATATACAAATTATATACAAGTTAAAATGACGTACAAACATTTCGGGATGAATGTAGCGTTCAAAATAATGCGTATTGATCTTAAACCCTCTAAATTACCTCAAGTCATGCACTATCATCTCTAATTTCATAAATCATATGAGATCAATCTATATTCGGTATTATACTTGATCGCAAGTTATTGAGTCAAATAATCCACGGCCCTTTTGTTATTGTGCCTTCTTTTGTCTATAAAAATCCTCCTCGGCCCTTTTGAGGTACCATGACATGTTTCCCGTAATATTTTGGATAAGTATTTGTTATGAACTTATGATTAATTATATACAAGCCTAATAGATTTTTCAATGGGGTTGATTTCAAATTCCGTTAATTAGAGCCGAGCTAAATCTACTTGCCTCTCATTGAATATTCGCTTTGGATATGTGGGCGACTGGTCAGATTTCTTTGAGGTAAATATAATGTCCACCCACATACGTCTATTTGTTATTTTTTCATATATATTTTACCTACCCATTTGTTGTTTTTACATATTCTAATCCATTCATTATGCCTATAAGTGAATCGGGTGGATTGATTGCTTAATTAGTCAGCAGTTGAATTGATTCATCAATATGCTTTTTGTAAAGACAAAAGTCTCAACGCGTTAGTGCGTTACACCCGGCCATATAAGAAATATAATGAACTCCAATTGCAAACGCAATAATAATTAAATTTTAAACATAAGCAATGTTTATTTTGATATCAAAATAAAACTACTCCGGGTATTACAATTTGAAACACCGAAACTTTAGAATCTTATTTTTTCGTGGTTGGGTAGTTAAGAGTACTTGTAGCGTTAAAAGTATATTAGTATCGCGTGAACTATACCGGAAGTGATAATTTTTTTGGGTCAAAAGACAGAAAGAGATCTCACAACCGTTATCGTTCGAACCAGACTCAAAATTAATCGCCGCAACAATACAATTCACTGATCCATTTGTGGGAAACATACAGCCAGCAACGGTCATCCTATTTCTTTCCAACCCCAAATCCAAACTCAATGTCTTACAAACTCGAAAGTGAAAAATAAAACAACAAACGACAAAACAGGAACAAAAGTTGAAATACGGGAAGTGATAATAAGGCGGCAATTTTGTGAGCACGTAGATGAATTTTTCTAATCACTTTTTTTGCAGTCTCTAAATTTTTATTTTTCGACACACCTTTCTGGATTAAATTTCGAAAAAATCAAACGTTGATAAAACTGCATTAATATGATTATTACTCCGTATCGTTTCTTGCTAAATGTGACTCATTCACTCTTAATTAAGCAAGTTTTATGCTTTGATTAGAATTAAATAAAGTTATGTTTACAGAATAAAATATAACTGCTTTTATTAATACACTATATACGGGGCATATCTAGGGGAGGGCCAACCTTATCCTTGGTTCAGCCCAAATTTTAAAAATATCAATATTTTTAATGTAAAAATTTTCGTGTAAAAACTTTTTCAAAAATATTACTACGTATTTGGCACAATCCGACCCGGATTATTATATATAGATGTTTGACTTCTATTCGAAATACGGAGTATTTTATTTTAATTTCATATGGATTGGATTGATACTCCCTCCGTCCCGTTGGAATGTTCTCGTTCACTATTCATTGGTCAACTTAGGTCACTCTTAATTTTTTACTTTATATATCACATTTTTATCAAATTGAACTTTTCTTGATCAGACTTTGTAGCGGTTTTAATGTAGTTTCTGAATATGTAAATTTTATTTACTAAAAATAAGCGGAGTGTGAACAGGGATCGAGTTGATTTATCGTCAGTCAAGCATCGTAATTCGAACGGGAACATTCCAACGGGACGGAGGTAGTATTTGATAAGTTTAAATAACTTGAGTAAGCTATTACCGGTTCAACCTACCAATGATACAGACGGCGCCAGCATACGTTGAAACTTGAAAGTTGAAACGTCGCTGAGCTCAATACTGACGTGTAACAATAAACATACGACTTTACTGTGTACAGTCAACTTGGACTTAGATGTCGTTTAGCAATCCGATTGTTTGGCTTATCAACCTTATCAACCAATTTTTTCACGCGCTGAATTGTGTAATAAGCAGAAAATGTAAGGTTGAAGTTACTTTTCTGGCTGTATTGGCTGAAATTACTGTAGATGACTATTTTAGCTATTTTTACATATATTTTTTTCTTTATTTTATTAATAAAATATATTTTAAAAATAATTTTTTCTTTAATCAGCAGAATCAGCCAATACAGTCACTTCAGCCAGAACTTCATAAATTTTAGCAGAATCAGCCAAAACAGCCGATTTTCGTGCTATCAAACGAGCTATCAATAGCAAGTTTGCAAACTCAAAGTTTATATAAGGTTCGGGGTATATATATTACATATGCAAGTTTGAGGTACTTATTTCACACCCCACTAAATTAAAGTTTGTTGTATTTAAAATATTTTCCCTTTTATTGTATATATGTTCAAATAGAAGGTATTATTAAAAATTACTTTCAAAGTACATACTATTATTGATTTATGGGAATGTTTGTATTATTTATGATATTTTCCTATAATTTAATATTAGTCTCATGATCGGTTTACCTATAATTTTAAGGTATCACTTAAAAGAAGCAATACTTGAGGGTGGAATACCTTTCAATAAGGCATATGGAATGAGTGCATTTGAGTATCATGGAACAAACCCAAGATTCAACATGATTTTCAATGACGCAATGTATGATGCTTCTACCATAATTATGAAGAAGATTCTAGAATGTTACAAGGGATTTGAAGGCCTCAAATCTCTCGTGGATGTCGGCGGCGGGACAGGAGCCACCCTTAACTTGATTCTCTCTAAATATCCAAATATTAAGGGCATCAACTTCGATTTGCCTCATGTTATTCATGATGCTCTTCCTTCTCCTGGTACCCTACTCGATTTAACATTTCTAATTGAACTTAACTATGAACTTACGTTTAAAATTCAAATATATATATTACATATATTAATTAATTTGTTCAGGAATTGAGCATATCGGGGGAGACATGTTTGTTAGCGTGCCTAAAGGCGATGCAATTTTTATGAAGGTAGGATATACTTTTATAGTATCATTGTTTTATATTATTTAAGATATACATCATAAATGTGTATTAGAAATATAAAGTAAAAGTTTTTAGGTTAGATGAATCATATCACTAGGACACAACTACACAAGTATTACATCCTATGATTGAAACAAAAAGGGGTGGTGTAGTTTTAAGAAAAGTAGAGTTATGTAATTGATATTGAATTGATAAAGTGTGAATAAAATAAAAATAAATTAGAACCACATAAATATTACCTAATATGATATTGGAAAATTTTAACGAGAAGGACGAAAAAAGAAAATGTGAGAATCATAGTCGGACGGAGGAGTATCATATATTGGAAAATTGCTTATAGAGGTTTGTCAATTAGACAGCTCAACTGTTTAAATTTAACTTTTTCATACTAACTTTATAGAGAAAATTACTTCATATATGACTAAATAATTGTGTGTTTCTCAAAATATGACTTATGTCTTCTTTTTCCTAATATGATGCCACATAGCATTTATGCATATCATTTGAAGTTCTTTTTTTCTTATTTCATTCCATATGTGTCTAGTCATATATTATAAAGGAAACATGCATAATCATATATCAAGAATTGTCATGAGTTTTAGTTCTATATATAGGCATACTTCCCAACTTTATTTATATTAGCAAAGGAATAAACTGAGTTAAGGGAAATATTTTATATGTATATTTTGTGTACATCTACCCAATTTCCCTCACACACACATATAATAGGAACATATCAGAATTTTTCTCTACAAAGTAGCAGGGTTTGGCGTTGCGAGTTTGTTTTTCGATTTGTTTACTTTTAAGTTTTCTGAAAAGTTACTAGAAAATGGTGTCATTGTTCATAGTGACACATTGACATGAGAGATCATGTTAGTGATGGAGGTAGCATGTCAGTACTTTTGACATATTAAAATATTCGCCTATTTTGTGCAACTAAAAACATCATTGGCCTATATGTACTGACGCTTTAATTTCCAAAGTACATAACATTTTTGTCAATCAATATTGTTTGTAATATTGCAAGGAAAACTTATAAAAATCGATGTTATCAAGATTTTTTAAATATATTTGAATTCATGAGGAGTCTACTTCAGGTAGATGTCTGATCCATGTGCATTTTACAATTGTCTAAGTATGGTCTCGTCTGATCTGTTCTGGTCTGGTCTGATTTGTTTTGGTTTGATCTAGTCTGGTCTGCAACTGAAAACAATCCAAGCAAAAATTGTGTAATGATACTAGCTATAAAGTTTGTTCTAGTGAATTCTCCATATTATCTTTATACCTCTAAAAATCAGTTTCCAATTCACAATCAATGATTAGATCAATAATACTTCAAAACTTGAGTATTCAAAAATTAGATCTCATGAACTTTCTATTTATTTAATCACTTTAAATTACATCACAAAACTTTTTTGAATAGATTTCTTTTGAATCGTGTATTCTTACACTTTACCATTGCGATCATATAATTGTTTGAGCATGTTTAAAATTGGGTGAATTGTGTTTTTATGTGATTTCTAATCTATCTCTAGTGGATTTGTCATGATTGGAGCGACGACCATTGTCTAAAGTTTTTGAAAAAATGCAATGAAGCACTTCCAAAAAATGGAAAGGTTATCATCGCAGAGTGTATTCTACCGGAAGAACCAGACACCACATTAGCAACAAGAGATGTGATCCACGGTGATGTCCTCATGTTGGCATATAATCCAGGTGGGAAGGAGAGAACCGAGAAGGAATTTGAGAACCTAGCTAAGAGTTCCGGTTTCGTAGAATTTCGCAAAATTTGTTGTGCTTTCAATACGTGGATCATGGAATTCTGCAAGTGAACACAATAGAATCATTTCATATGTTCTAATTCACTTTTTCTATACCCGCTTTTTCTCTTACCTAAATGGATTTGTAGTTGTCAGAATAAGAATGGAACAATAAAAAATGAGCAAACTAATGGACATAGTACAATGACATTAGTTGTCCTCTTCAAGTGTTTGTTTGTTTGAATTAAGTCAATGTATACCTTAATAAAAATGTAATAGCAAAAGAATGAAATTTGTATATCACTTCAAAGAAGATCGTATGTTCATACATAAGAGTTGGGTGCAAAGACCCATTTATGCATGCATAGCAATATTAAATTAGGAAAGAAATTAAAATGGAAAACAAAATAATTGGGGAAATCATGATCACATGGAAAGGAAATACCTGATATAATTCCTAACAGGTGGTCTCCATATACAGCTAAATCATGCAGCAATAGCATAACCATATTTGTACATTAATACTTCCCCTCATGCTGGAGTGTGGAAATTATGAACACCCAACTTGCCATGAAGATATTGAAAATGATCAAATCCAAGATGCTTGGTGAAAATGTATGCAATTTGATGTTGAGTAGAAATAGGAAGTGGCTGAATTTCATGGCTAGCAACATGTTCTCGATCAAAATAACAGTCTATCTCAACATGTTTAGTGCACCCATGATAACCAGGATTTGTGGCAATATGACGTGATGTATAGTTATCACAAAAAAGTGGTGTGTGTGAAGACAAGAAAACTCAAAAATTGGGGAGTAGTCCCCTCAGCCAAATGATTTTGCTCACAGTAATAGCCATGAAGCGGTATTCTGCTTCTACCGATGATCGTGAAACCACTGCTTGTTTCTTGGTTCGTCAAGAAACAGGAGATCCGCATAATGTGATGAAATAACCAGAGTTGGAGCGTTGGGTGAAAGGACATCCAACCTAATTAGCATCATAGAAACCTTCAAGGGTAAATTGTTTTGGGTAGATAACAGAATTCCTTGGCCCGATGTAGTCTTTAGTACCGTAAGACACGATAAGCGGCAGTCGTGTGAGTATGTCTTGGAGATGAGATGAACTGGCAAGCTGATTTACCAAAACTACAATGTAGGTGACCAACTAATCTGCGATAAGTTCAAGCATCCACGGTCGGACTCTCATCATCTTGTAGCTTGAGATTCTATTCCATAGCGAATGAGCTTGGACGACTTCCTTACATCATGGATTCCTCCAAAATGTCTAACGTGTATTTTCGTTGACTAAGGATGAAAACAGTTGAGGAAAAGACTACCTCAATGCCTAGAAAATATTTGAGTGGACCAAGATCTTTGATGGTGAATTTTCCATCAAGATACAGCTTGACTTGTGTAATATGCTTCATAGTATTTCCGGCAAGCAAAACGTCATCGACATAAATAAGGGCGACCGTGTAGACAGAACCCTAATCTTTAAATAATATAAAGTAACAGTCAGGCCACAACTTTTGGAGCCAAAATTGCCGCCCAAAATGAAGGGCATTGAAAACTTAAGTGCGTTGGAAATTCTCCTGTATCTAAGGCAATTAATGCGCCATAAAAGTAAAGCTTGGCTACAAATTCTACAATCCTACATAATGCTCGGTACTACAAAGTACTAATTATGGTACATAATGCTACTATTTTTGTAGGGAAATTGGCCCGGTAGTATGAACTCTTAAGGTTATTGATTTGATAAATTTAGTTGCTATAATTAAATTGATAATAAAGGGCAGCTCCAAACTCGAAAGCAGTGATAGTGGGATTTACTGCCCAAAAATTGGTAAGACAAATACATTGTCAACACATGTTATATGTATGGTAATTAGAGAGATTAAATAGGGTATGCATTGAAGTATTGAATGACACCATCTTAAATCTATACAACATCTTAAAGAAAAAAAATATTTAAAGTATACTTTATTAATAAAATAAATAAATATATATATATATATATGAAAAATAGCTAACATTGTCATTCAGAGTAACTTCAACCAATACAACCAGAAAAGTGCCTTTAACTTTACTTTTTATTATTATATTATTACACAATTTAGCGCGCCTAATCAAAATTAAAGTTACGTGTTTGGTTAAAAAATTGACTTATAAGCTTGATAAGCCAAAAAAACAGTGTCACCAAATGGGCTCTGATGTGAGTTTTCTCGTACTTAAAATAGATCGTAATATAGTGATGTAAGTACGAGTATCGTCTCCACAAGGACGAACAAAAGGGAATCAAGAATTAATTAAATTCAGCGATTAAAAAGAAAATAAAATAAAAGCGTCGTGCGAGATTGGTTGGTTTGGAAAATAAAACTAATGCGAACAATTAAACTAGGGGGTTCTTTCTAATTAATGACGAAGGGAACAGGGATCGATTCCGGGGTAACCAGATTTCTGGCAGATCAGGCCTAATTACATGAAATTAATTTAATTGAGCCTAGCTAATCATTACTAAGTTCTTACCGCTCTCGCGGCGTAGAGTACAATAATTTAGGGAACCAGGCTGATCTCTCATGCGACATGATCCTAAATTATTGCCAAGACGAGCAAGCTTACGACCCCCTTAATCGCTACTAATCTCTTAGCGAACGATTAAGTGTGTGTGAATGTGTCCTAGAACAAATTAGATCTCTCTTAATTTATTCTACATGCAATTGTAATTCTAGTCGCGATTCTAGGTTACAAAAGATATCAATTAAATTATTCAAACACAAATCAAATGACATTCATGCAATTAATCTTCATCAAGAATCTTCCGGTGACCTCCAAAGCTATCAAATCATTCTCAAATTCTTCTCAAATCATCCCGATTGTTCCTCAAGTGCTGGTACCGGGCTCAAATTCCCTAATTTTGACTACAAACAACACAAAACTCGAACCAACGCCCGGTAAACATAACTTGAGCTAAAATTGAGACTTGCAACACCTTAAAGCTAGGGAAACCATCAAAATCCGATCTCAACACACATCAAATGCGTGTCAAAATACGGACTTATCAAATACCCCCACACTTAAGCCTTTGCTTGTCCTCAAGCAAACTGAACAACGGGACTTACGATAATCACCACACGGAATCAAAACAATTAGCATGCACACGTAGTTAAAGGGATATTCAAAGAATAGGCAGACTAAACCAAAAAAATTATTCCCTAAACTACATCTTTGTACTCTAGCTAAAATATTTGACAAAATTATTCACAACATCCTCAAAGTAGTGACAGCACACACAAATAAACTAGCTACCGATCAGAAGGACTTGTGAAAATGGTGGTGAAGGGTGAATGTTAACAATAATAGTCCCTTTGTTTTGAGAGATTGGAATATTCTATCAAAGACTCAATGTATTCAGGAACTTCAGGGCTATTCTTAGGATCAAGGAACTTAGTAGGCCACAATTTAGGAACAATCCTTTAAACCTATGCAAAGAGTAGACATGGTGTACAACTAAGCTAAACCGTCTCGGCACATTTGTGCTTTGACGTATACTTGAAGTACGCGAAGGACTAAAGCTAATTTTTGCAATAGCCTCCAAGTTCATTTAATTAGGTTCATTTTTCCTTGTCATGTTGGCACGAGAACGCCGTTTCTTTCGAAAGATACCCAAGTCTCATCTTACGCTTTTTGACCGGGGCTCCCATTCTCTTTTTCTTAAGGCAAGAGGTCTAGTTATATTAATTTTTCACCTTTCGGATTCTTACTAGACATTACCCCATTCTAATCTCGGCTTCACCAAGGAAAAATAGCAATTAAGGTTCATTTATTTAAAAGTGAATCCATGCCTACAATGCAATCCTCGAAAGTATCAAATTCCTAAAAAGTGACTGCTCTTACCCCATTTGGGGCATAGGAACAGTGCCAAAAATGGCTCCTACCCAAAATTCTCTAAACTTAGCAAATTAATCCCCTAGTTCCCTAAACATCAAGACTAAATCAGAAATATTCCCTAAGGAACACGGGCCAAATGAGCTCCTTACCCGTGAATATTTCTTCATCATCTTCTTCAGAGTCGTCGAGGGGAGATAATCTTTAACTTTATTTGAATTATCCGATCCTTCTCCTCCTTCATCCGATGTACATTCTTTTTCTCCCCCCTTCATAGTAAAGACATGATCTGTATTCATAGTAAAGGAAATATCGAAGGATTTCTTGATCGCGCAGCCCCGCCATTCATTAGATCGTGAAGGCAGAAAACCGGACTTCATCTCGCCGACCCGATCGCGAACCCCTTCACTATTTAGGATCACAAAACTTCTTCACGATCTAGTTCATTACACAGCTTCGCCATCTTCTTCACGGACTTGAACAAGAAACAACTTCGTCATCTTCTTTGCGGACCTAAACGCGAAATAGCTTTGTCGTCTTCATTCGCAGTCTCAGATCGCGAGCATCCCTCGCTGTCTCATATCGCGAGCTTCCTTCACCATCTGAGATCACAAGCTACCTTCTCCATTCAAGTTCGTGTGACATCTTTGCCATTTTAAATAACGAGCTTCTTAATACAATACACGTCTACGATCAGTCATCAATCATTTTTTTAACATGCAAGAAACATAGATAGGTATATGAAGGCAAAAAAAAGTAGAAACTTTTACTGCTTGTGACTCTCTTAAGGCGCAAAATGTGAAGAATCCTTAGAAGATGCCAACATCCGGTTTTTGAGAAATGTTAATAAAGAACTAAGGAAGATTAATGTGCACAAATCAAACATATAGCGGTATGTGAGATTTATATCCTCTTTAACTCCAGAATGGAAGAATTTGTAATCATTCATACAATATACGAAAGATTTGGAAGAAATGAATATTCACGTAGTGTACAATACTCTTGATCATTTTACAAATAACCTCTCAAACATTGTTGATGAAGAAAAGGACAAAGACATAATTGACACTTTGGTTGACACCTTGAGTGTAATACTTAACCGACCCTCCAAATCCATCTCTAAGCCTCAAGGAAGAGAAGAAGATGAAGAACTAAGGAAAATATTTTAAACTTTTGTCACGGATTGGATCCATGACAACTTGCCAGACCAAAAAACAGTTTGTCGGGATGACTTTGGTGTAACATTGTCACGAATCTTGTCACAGATGAATTCTGTGACAAAGGTTTCCCTGAGTTGATGTAAGTTCTCATGACAAAATCCATGACAAACCTGTCACGGACGTATTCCGTGACAAAATTCCTTGACAAAATCCATGTTTCTTTGTAGTGCATCTATTGTCAAACCGCTATCATAATCCGCTAACAGCTAACCAACGATTGCCAAACAAAGTCATAGTTCTATTTGTGCACTTTATTCAAGTTTTAGTCTTATTTAAAGCAATTTCTATATTATTATTATTAGATTATTAATTACACATGTGGCCCTACCTAAACCTGACTTCCAGAGGCCTAGTTAGCTTTTTTGCATTTTAAACGTGTTTTAAACATGTATCTTTTTTTTTTTACTAAAACACGTTTAAAATGAAAAATGATGTCGGTCCGTTTAAAAAGGAAAAAAACTTCCACTTCCCATATAAAACGTATTTTTCCCACATTTAACAAAAACAGAAACATGAATTGACCAATTGAATAAATGCATTGAATGCATATATACGATCAGCAGTAGTTTAAAAGTAAAAATGAAAATGTCCTTCTCATGATCCCGAGTTTTTGTAATGTCACAATAGAGTTATTAAATATTAAAGTCAATTGCATGACGGCTAAATCTAGATCCAAAAAGACTATAACTTAAAGTACTACTAGATACTACTACCTCCGTCTCATTTATATTGTCCCAGAAGAGGGTGGCACAGTTATTAAGAAAGGTGGGTTTGTATGTTTGATATTAATTGATAAAGTAAGAATAAAGTAAGAATAATTTAGAGCCACACAAACTTTGCCAAATATGGTATGGAACAATTTAAGTGGGACTTCCCGAAAAGGTAAAACGGGACAATATAAACAGGACGGAGGGAGTAGTTGTTTATTCAAACAAGCATATCAAAATTAAGGTTTTTCTAAACTTCGCATTGTTTAGGATAAATTTTTACACATAAACCATAATAAGCGTGGCAGTCGCTCAACTTTTCTCATATGTCATCCATCACCTTGATGAGAATGATTTTAAATTAGTCTCATTCTATTGTTATTATGCCTTATTTCTAACATTATTTTACAAAATATATGTGGGACTTAATTACTAATCCGTATTTTTATTTTTTTCGTCGACTTATGCAACTACGAGTTATTCTTTTATGTAGTAATGAGATTTGGTACTTGAACATGTGTTTACTTTTATTCATTTTTACTATATAAGTTACATTGTGAAGTATATAATTTAAATGTTCAAAATAATACTCCGTATTTTTTGTCCTAATTTTTGTAACAAATAATGTATTATACATGTATACGTATTTATAAGTTTTTAAAATTCAACGTTCTTTTCAACGTGTGCGTATTTATACGTTTTTAAAAGTCAACGTTCTTTTCAACAAATTTGTTACCGTTTTTTCATTCACGCAGGGCCGTGCCTTTAGTAGAGGCAAGTGAGGCTTGAGCCTTAGGGCCTCAAAAATGTCTACAAAACTAGGGGCCCAAATTTTAAAATAATACATATATTACTATATTACATATATATGCTCCCTTGTTTTTATTTTTGTCGGCTTACAAAATGCAGCACGTACTAGCGGACGGATTAGAAAAAGGTTAAATATTTTATATCCTTGGTTGGCTTCTAATATTTTAATTTTTATTACCTGATATGTTTTTATTCCCACCAATATTTATACACTCAAAATGTAATTAAAGCAAATGAAATTCACATATTGGTGTCAATCGCATCAAATCTCTTGTTCTGATTAAGCTCTGAACTTATCTCGTTTAGTCTCTTTTATCTCCATTCGAATCTTCATCAGAAGTGCATGGAATAAATTTAGCTATTAAGTTTTAATCAAATGTGTTTTTGTTGATAAATATACTAGTTCTAAAATTATTATAAATCAACTTCACTACATTTTATAGTAAATAATTTAGCTTTGACAAAAACATAGCGTATAAAAAAATAGCATAGTAAATACTGTACTACGTAGTAATCTTATCCAACAGTACTAATCAACTAGGGATGGATTTTGATGTTTTAAGATGATTTTACTTGGATTGATATCAGCCACACACTACTTTTAAGCAAATCGATCACACAAAATCAATTTTTTAGGTAAATAACTAATATATTAGTTCAACAAATCATTTGTCAACTTACTTACAATAAAGTTTGGCAAGAATGCCAAGAAAATAATTTATTTACTTTTAATACATTTAGTAATGTTATATATATATGATGAAACGATTCCGAATTTAATACCATGAATATAGGCAATTTCCAGTTTAAATTCACAATGTAAGAATTTTATTTAATTAGTTCTTTTTGTAAAATTTCATTTTTTACTGCAAAACAAATTATACACGGATAACTTATTGCGATTTATAGGGCTAAACAAATTATACACCCTATTTTTTATACATTTTTTACTGCAAAACTTACTGCAAAACAAATTATACACCCTATTTTTGTAAAACTATTTATAGGGCAGCCCCTCTATGAAACTCGACTCAGGACCAAATTTTCGTAGGATCGGCATTGCATTCACGTTACCGAATAAAACGTGTATGTAATAAACCTCGTTTAATTCTTGTATCATTTTTAACTAACTATGTACACGGATAACTTATTGCGATTTGCGAAGTACTACCTCCGTTCCACTAAGATTGGGACGAGATAAGGTGACACGATTTTAAAGAAAAGTGGATTTGTGTGGTTGATATTAAATTGATAAAGTAAGAAGGGAAAACTGTCAAATAGGTCCTCGAACTTTCATTAAAAAGTCAATTAAGTCCTTCTATAGGAGATTCTGTCCGGTCTTCGCGATTTGCGGTGGTTCCCGGTGGAATTTTTTGATGAAATTGTTTGAGCGTCTTATTCATCAAGTCTAGTTTACTCATACCAAATTCCAGCTAAAAATTTAATCGGGAGCGCATTCAAATTAATTCGAGAACGCAAAAATGCGCAGTTATCTTCAAGAATTAATTTGAATGTGTTCTCGATTGAATTTTTAGCTGAAATTTGGTTTGAATAAACTAGACTTGGTGAATAAGATGCTCAAAATATTTCATAAAAAAATTCCACTGGGAAATGCCCCAAATCGCGACGGCCGGACAGAACCTCCTATAGAAGGACTTAATTGACCTTTTTATGAAAGTTCGAGTACCTATTTGACAGTTTTCCCAAAATGTAATACTGTCATGTTTGAAGTCCGATATTGTCAAAACATGGTAATAATTAGTCCTATTTTGGAAATAAAAACGTAGCGGTACAATTTTGAAATTTTCATACATTTTTAGTCCTACTCATTTTTTTCTTTAGCCCAAACCCCAATCACAAAATTTTTACTTTTTTGCTTATCACATAATTAGAAGTTGGCAAAGCCCACTTAGATGGAGATAATATTTCAAATGACAAATGTTGTTTAAGAGTATAATAATATAAATTATATAGTACCATCAAGTTATCATAGTTTTGTTCATATGAATCAATCACAATGTTACAATTGAACTATTTAAATGTAAATTAAAAATGATATAATTTCTGTATCAATCAATGGGTATGTAGTCCTACTCAATTTTTAATAATCCACTGTGCCGTGGAGTAAGTTGTAACAGGCGTGGCCAAAACCACTACATAAGAAATAATCAGAGTCATCAAACACTCTGATCTGCTCCAAAGTTAGTTTCCCCTTCTTCAGTAACGCTTAGCTAATCGAAATAAGAGATAAAAATCGGAAGAAGATAAAAGTATGGGTTCGACGGCAACGCAGAGCCAGCTGAGGAACCGAGTCGATTGCGACAAGGAGGAAGCCGACAGCTTGTATGCGATGCAGCTGGCCAGCGCCTCAGTGCTTCCCATGGTGCTGAAAGCAGCGGTGGAGCTGGACCTGCTGGAGCTCATGGCTCAAGCCGGACCGGGAGCAGCCGTGTCCCCTTCTGAGCTGGCGGCTCAGCTCCCCACCACTAACCCGGACGCAGCCGTCATGCTGGACCGGATTCTCCGCCTCCTCTGCACCTACTCTGTCCTGAACTGCTCTCTCCGGACCCTCGCCGACGGCCGGGTGGAGCGGCTCTACAGCTTGGCGCCGGTATGCAAGTATTTGACCAAGAACTCCGACGGCGTTTCCATGGCGCCGCTCTTGGTCATGAATCACGACAAAGTCTTCATGGAAAGCTGGTAAATAATTTACTCGTTATTCCCTTTTAATGCACAGTCAAGGTGAGCCCCACACTTTACTTTCCTTTCATTCTTATTTTCTACGGTAGTTCTTTGGATTTGAGTGGGAGACATTGGAAATGAGAATCATAACGCCATAAAAATGATTCCATTCCTCACAAGAGTGGTGGAATGGCCCACATTTCGATTCATCCGAAGTAAGTCACGACATAATCTCAAACAAATTCTAAATGAGGTGCTTCAGGGCTTGGTGCGTACAAGAAGTCACCATGTCCACCCCATCGGATGAAACTTCCACATTGTCGCTGCCAGAAATTGAAGCTGAGATGTCAATCCAACAATCTCACTTAGCCATTGTTGAACTACCTGTGCGGGAAAAAATGATTTTCCTAATTTTAGGGGTGGGCGCATCAGTTTTCGATTCGGTCATTATCGGTTTCAAATAGGTTTAAAACCAATTGAAATCATTATTATCAAATAAAAATCATATAATCTTTCAGTTTGGTTCGATTTAGTTGAGTTTGGTTCTTTAGATAGGTTTGGTTTAATGCGATTTGAAAGAAATATTACCAAACTTAAATCAAATTGCATATGATTCGTGTTTGATTTGGTTTAGTTCAGTTCGGTTAAATCAAATCGATATGTTCACTCGTACGTAATTTTTGGATAACAAAATTGATGTGTGTGTATAATATATATGTTTGGTTTTTTAGTTCGGATTGGTTTAACACCTTCAATTCGTTAATAACGGCCTGTTTGGATTGAGTGTTGAGGAGTGTTAGTAATGGAAGTGTTAGTAAGTGTTGATGCTAACACTTGTTTGGGAGAAATAACCAGATGTGTTAAGAAGTGTTAGTAATGGTTAGGAAGTGTTAATAATAACCTTCCAAACACCTCAATTGTCCATTTTTTTAACACCCCGATTTGGAGTGTTTTGAGGTGTTGGACAATTATTACCCTTCTCATTTGCCCGAAAAACATAAAATGTTTCGACATTTCACTTCGAATGTCTTTCCCACGGGTCTGATGGTTTGTTTTTTCATCTCTTCTCTTTACTCGTTTCTTTTGCCTCAAGATAAAATTATTAACACTTCCATTATTAACACTTCATTCATTTGACTCTCCCAAACAAGGTAAAATTATGTCTAACACTTACACTTCCCTTCCCTTCCGAGCCCTTACTAACACTTACTAACACTTCCATTACTAACACGTTCAAACACTCCATCCAAACAGGCCCTAAATATGAGTAATTAAATAGATACAAAATGTTGAATTTTAAATTATTCATAAAAATATTTGCATATTTATGAGTAAACGAAAAGTTATTTATAAAAATGCATGTGACTCCTTAAATGCACTTTGGGGGTGTTTGGCAATTGGTCGTTGGTTGTTGGCCGTTGGCTGATTGGTGATAGCGGAATCTATTATCTGTTTTGATTAACTGATTGTGTTAGTTGTTTATAAAATAGTGTTTGGTTAAATAGCTATTTACAATCGGCTGATAACTTGTTAAATTACTTTTAAGGACATCATTTATTTTTTTTGTTTGTTAATATTATTAGTACAACTACTTAAAAATTAATTTATGATTTAAAAAAAAATTATGATAACAAGTACTCCGAAATAATTATTTCAACATTTTTTTTGTTGAATCTGTTATGGCTGCACTAAGAATTAAAGTGTTTTCAAAACTTCACTCCAGATTTTGTTATGGTGATTTATATGCATATAGCTAGAGGAAATTACATACCTAACCGTTTAAGAATTTTGTCTTTAATCATTATATTCCCAAGTTGGAGTTGGAGTTCAGGGATATTGGATGACTTTAGTGTGCAATCAATCACCAGCCTTTTTTTTAAATACCGAAAGAAAGAAGTGAGGCACGAAGAATCTTGGGCAGAAGAAGAATATAGACGAAACATTCAATCTGCCGGTGTGTAAACGCTGATTTCTTTAACTTTTTCCATTTTTGTTGTTTTGGATAAAAAGCCAACTCAAAAAATCAACTAACCAAACACTTCAATTGACTATTTATCTAGTGTATCTAGTCAAAAAGCCAAATAGTAGTCAAATAAGCCAAAAAAATGACTGATAGACTACTAACCAAACACCCCCATTATAGTACTCCGTAGTTATTATAGTACTCCTTAAATTTAAGCCCCCCATACTATACTAAAAATGTCAATTGCCCCCCCCCCAACTCAAAAAATGCACGATTGAACACCTGAATTATGAAATATATGGAGAATGGTTTTTTATCACGATTAAGGATGTTTTTACTTGGGCTGTAATTTGTTGGTCTGGTCTGGTCTGGTCTGATCTGGTCTGGTCTGGTCTGAACTGGTCTGGTCTGGTAAGGTCTGGTTTCTTTGTATTTTTATAACTATCCAAGTCTGGTCTGGTCTGGTCTGGTCTGAACTGGTCTGGTCTGGACTGCTCTGGTCTGGTCTGGGACAAATTACAGTCCAAGTAAAAACATCCTAAACCTTCATATATTTTTACAAGTGGCGACACGTGGTGACACATGTGAAATGTTTTTTTTTTCTTTTTTTTTTTCTTTCTTTCCTTTCTTTTTTCTTTTTCTTTCTTCCTTCTCCCTGAGTTCGTCACTTCTGTGGTTCGTCCGCTAATCTTCTCCCTTGCGCCAATATTAAGTCAAATCACATATATGAAGATCTGCCCATTTAGCCGCACCAACGCCGCTCAATTTCGCCGTGCCAACGCCGTCATAACTTTGCTCGATTTTGCCGCCCCATTCTAGATCAGGTCTTGTCCAACGAAGCAAACACGTGGGCGGAACCGATTATTGACTCTCAACACCAACCCGAATCCGAGGGAGGAATCAATGATTTAATTCTCAAGCTTTCCGTGCGGTTTGGGGATTTTCCGATTTGGTCCCATAGATCTCTAGTTTACAAACATTTTCTTAATTTCAATAAATATCGAGAAATGGTGTCAAATAGGATCATAAGTTTCCCTATATACTTAAACTAGTTATGTTACGCGCGATGCGCGAAGGAAAATGCCCAATATTTTTTTTAGAACAATATTAGATTATTAGGTTGTGTCATTGGAATTTTGTTGAGAATGTTAAGAAGTATAGAACATTTGTTCTAAAACAACGTGGGGAGGTTATGGTATTTGCATAATATCCTTGTAGATATAACCTTATGTACCCTATAGCTAGGGATGCCCATTTGTGACATCATCTAAATAATTACTCTATATAATGATGATATACAACCGGGTATGTTGTTGACTTCTCTCAAACTCTCTTGTTAAATAAGTGATGGTTTTTTTTAATAATATATACTCGTATATACGTAGTATATATTTTAAATTAACATTGAGACATTTAAACACGAAATACCATTTAATGCATATATTGTAGTTAGCCAATTTGATTGTTTTGATTGTATTAGTATATATATCATTAACTAAATATTGTATATTCAAATCTTGTTTAAATACAATCAAAACAAAAAAAAAAAAGAGGCCTGAATTTACTTGTGTCGAACAGTGCCGGATTGGAGAAGATGATCACGAAACTATATGGAGCACCAGTTCTTGAAACATACTCCGTAAGACATTTGGTGTGTGGGTTGATGGGGAAAGAGCAAACACCTAATTCAGCGTACCAGAGGAAGTTTAAGGGATAGAGGATTCCAGGGAAGATTAGATATTGTTGGATGACGGAGTTTAATTAACGGAAGATTAATGGCGAGGTTGCTTCAGAAATACTAACCGTCCGTACAAGGTTTTCCTTGTAATGTACAACCCTCTATTGCAATAGATTACACCAACACATTTTTAATACCCCAAAGCCCCTCACCCTCATTGGCTATTATAAGATTTTGATAAGACCTTTTTTCAGTGTTCCAGGTTTGCCCCTAAATCTATTAGTCCTTATTCCCTTTCTCTTCTGTCGACAAAAGCAACGACCATACTTAGCTTTCATACCATAGGCGACCTGCACTCTAACAGGGAGCGGCTCCTTGGCGGAACAGCAGAGGTGGGGCACATAAGCCGAATAAGATGAGTAAGCGGCTTCAGGTGAGTCAGTTACGCGGCGATGGCTGTACGGCATTAGCGACGGTGGACGGCGGCACGACGTCGGCGTCGATGGGCAGCGGCGCAGATATTCCTTCTTCTTCTTCTTCATCTCTTCTCCTCTTTTCTTGTGTCGATCTAGTAGTTTTTCTTCCGCAGGTGTGATCGCTTTTCTTTCGCCGATCTGAGATCTGATTTCTCTTCTTGACATTCATGTTATTTCCGTATTTATAATTGTGTTTTTGATTAGTTTTGAGTGATTGTTACTCTAGAAATTACACACTTTTGGTGTAAAAGTTTAGTTTGTAAAATAGTTTTAAATTGTTTAGATTAGGTTGATTCTGAGCTCAAACAGGTCCAAGACCACTCTAGGGACCATTGGTGAACATCACAATTGGAAGGAAAGTGCAAAGATTTCAAGAAAAGATGAAGATTCTGATTTTTGGTAGTGTACCCGGTCGAGTATGCCCTATACTCGATCGGGTAAGTTGCTGAAAAGTCAAATCGGATAAATCCGGGAACAAGGCAACATGCAGGAGGATTTTCTAACTCGATCGCGTATCCATACCCGATCGGGTAGCCGACATACCCGATCGGGTATGACCCCAGAATTTCAGTTTCGAGGAAACTAACCCTTACCCGATCGGATTGAGCTAAAAACTCGATCGGGTACACGACCCTGCAGGCCTAAAAAGCCTATAAATACACCCCATTTCCTCCACAAGGAGGACACCCAATTCTTATATACTTCTAAGCTCAGTTTAGACAAGTTCTTTCTTTATATTTTTATCATGTTTAGTCTCCAAATGAGGAGCTAAACTCTTCCCTCTTGGTTTTGCTACTTTGAAGCTTAATGATTTGTAAGTTGTGAGTTATCTTCTTTAATCTTCTTCCTTGAATATTAATTACTTCCTATTCATATCCCATATTAATATATTGAGCATTAC